TAAATCGCCCCCTTATCCCCTCGTCTGTAAACATGGCGTTTTGCATTGACAACCACCTTACCACGACAATTTCTTGTCCGGACCACGGAAGCATGAACAAACCGTGTAGCGCGGCCCATAGTCACGAGCCACCACTACTGGTAGCGCACACCACTCCGCGTGCGGAGTGATGTGCGGTGCCAGTAGAAGCTTCGTCAGCGTGTGTCTTATCCCGGTGATGTCAGCGAAGACGACGGATTTAGGGTGTTGACGCCAAGGCAGGGTGAACAGCACTTACACCAAGGCATTGGTGATGTTACCCAAGGATACCGACCGTGAGACAGGTGTGAAAATTGTCCAGAAAATTCGAGTCAAAAAACAACCATACAATCACCGTGCGGCGTCTGTTTTTAGAAGAACAGTGTGTATCGGCATCCCTTAACGGTCGGTGTGGCTGTAACTTCGACGAGAGGCAAGCCCTCTCTATTGGTGATTCCGAAGTCGTAGCCTTCGATGAAGCAGTCACTGTCCAATTCTCTGCACCACCGATTGGCGGTCCGTCGTACCGCACCTTCGACAAGCGCTGCTGTATTACATACGGCCATCGACTGCGGCAGGTCGTTGATGGTGATAGTGCGTTTCCTCAAACGACCGAATCCTTGGGGCTTAAATTTGAAACGACTTTCCAATCGACCAGCGACAAACACATCCTCCAAGTCACCATTCACATACATGCAAGTAGCCGGCGAATCAATCACCAACAATCCCAACACTGACTCCAAACTCCTTCTCTGACTCGTCTTGCTCGTAACTGCTCTCGCCATTTTTCCTGCCCAAAATTCATGAATAATTTACCACTACCCCCCACGTTACGTCCCACCCAGTTTGCCAAACACCCCCATCAAGATCCCCCCCTCGCCCTCCCTCGCTCTGGTCTCCCGTCCGCTTGTGTTCATCGGCGACCGGCACTCAGCAGCGGGACTATATGGTGTACAGCGCCTCGGTAACAGACGAGACCGACCTCCTGTGGAACCAACTCATCCAGGACGCACACGCAACTCACAAAAAGCAATCTCCCCGTCCGATATCAGCCACAAGTGACTGGCCCACGAATACAAAAAATCAGCGACGGGAAAAAAATCATGCGACGAGCGAGTGTGCGAGGGCGGGTGTGAGTTGTCCTCGTTGTTGCCGCTGTCCCCGGGTTCGGCGTCACTCCCTACGATTGTGACGTTCGGCAGTCGTGCTTGCATTTGTGGGTATTCGTCGTGACCATGATATGAATAAAAATTCCTTTTGAGATCATTATGTCCTTGGACGGCTCACACCCCTCTTATCCCAGAACGAATTTCTCTGCGCTGAGTCCGACTGGCCGTCTCTTTCTACCTCGACTTGCGTGCAGGTTGTGTTTACCACCTTCACTGAGCATTCGGGCGCGAACCATTTTGGCGTCTCCGGTCCGTTGATGGACGATGCCGCGGAGCCTGGGTTGATGAATACTACGACAATATCTCCTGGTTGTAGGTTGGTGGGTCTTTTCTAAACGGTCGGTTTCTGAGGAGGGACTTGGCCATTCGCTCTCGGAGCATTTTTTGTTGCACTTGCTCTCGTTCTTGTTCCGAGCTCAGTGGGGTCATGTCCTGCCTTTGGTCCAGAATGGGGAGTTTGCCGAAGACTGCCTCGTTTCGGGGAAGTGTTCATCGCCAAAGTGGGGCGTTACGTTGTGCAGGCGAGTGGCTGCATCTACCATTAGTTCCATGTCTCTCTGATGCCTTCTTGCCATGCGGTCTTGAGTACGTTGTGTAGTTCTTGGTGAGAGTGACACGGCGGCGGCCTTTCCCAGCGTCCCTGTCGGTAGTCCTTGCCGCCTTGCTGGTGGTGTCTTCAGTCTCGCGCCAATAAAACACTCTCTGGTCATTTTTCCGATGTCCTGGGTGCAGCCGGGCCAGTGGTATAGGGCTTGGACCCTCTTGCGCGTCTTGCCGACTTCTAGGTGGTCATCTGTGAATGGTAGTGGTGGTCGGCAGTCATGAAACCCGTTCGGACTTGTCCACCAACCTCGGCACGTAGTAGCGGGAGCCTCGGCACGTAGTAGCGGGAGCCCACAGCACCTCAACCCATCCAGCAGCTGTCGCCAGTGAGTTGTGGTTGGGGGGCCCGGGCATCGCTGTTGCCGTTATCCCTGGGTTCAGCATAGCTGTTGATGGCCGTGATATTCGGTTGTTGTCCTTGCGTTTGCTGGTATTGGTCGTGGGAATGAGTTGTGGCAAAATAGACGTACCTTCATACGTACAAAATAGACGTGTTTACGGCAATGCGTGCTTTACATATGAACGTAGGAGTCGTTTCGTTTTTAGAAGAGGAAGGATCACGAGACGCCAGAAGGGAAGGACGTACGTGCGCGGGGAGCGATGAGTTTTTTTGTCGCACCCACTGGTAGGAAAAATTGACCTTGTAAAACAGCACAGCTTGTTCACGAAAAACTACACTCTTGATCACCTCGGTCGTTCGTTTGCGGTGGCTCGTCCAGGGTTGGAGGGCATCGAACTCGGTCCGTTAGCGTCAGTCTTGCTGAAGGCCCCGCGCACACATTTGTTCGTTTTGGAAATGACTCATTGATGATTGCCTGGAAATGCCTCATTGATGATTGCCTGGAAATGGCTCATTGATGATTGCCTAAAATGTGGTCCAAGTCAGTGAGAAGACACCTGCCTCTGGCGGTGGGAGAGCCTCAGCTATAAACGTACGTGAGGAAGCAGATAAATCGCTAGACTTGGTAGCGTCAGTCTTCGTCGAGTCAGCCTTGGTCGAGTCACTCTTGGTCGAGTCACCCTTGGTCGAGCCACCTTTAGTCGGGTCACCCTTGGTCGAGTCACCCTTGGTCGAGTCACCCTTGGTCGAGCCACCTTTAGTCGGGTCACCCTTGGTCGATTCACCCTTGGCTACGGCTTTGGAGGTTGCTTTGCTATCGGCATAGAGATTGCAGAGCGTGTTGAGGAGGACTTGCACGTCATGGGGGACAGAGCCGCGGGCTGCATGATCCAGACTGGCTGGCCGCAAGGATTCAGTAAGTGCATCAGCCAGTGCATATTGGGCAGGTGACTGAGGTACAACCCAGCGTAGCGTGGAAGCGGTGGCGAAGTAAAGACGGCTGTGGACAAGGTGGTGGGGCCGGTCGCGTCTGCGGCCGAGGGACGTTTCACAGCCGCTGACGGAGACGTACTGGGCGAGTTTCAACACACTAGGGCGGGCGTCTTCAGTAACCGTGGAGCCTCGCATTTTGAGTAGCTCCAACGCATTCGGCTGGAGACCTTCAATGGCATTTGTCGTGAAGTACTGATAGAGCGGCCGCAAAATTTCCAAACCGTCGAGCGCCAAACAGCTGGTCCGGTATTGCGCGTCCAACACCGGAATCAGAGACTTTTCTTTCCGACTCTTCTTTCCTAACGCCTTGCCAGACGCCTCCGCCTTGCCAGATGCCTCCGCCTTGCCAGATGCCTCCGCCTTGCCAGATGCCTCCGCCTTGCCAGATGCCTCCGCCTTGAACAAGTCAGTGCCAGATATGTCGCTTCCCAGCGAGGTGCTGCTGAGTGAGTCTTCGCCGAATGAGCCACCCGAGTCGCTGCCGCTTTGTGAGGAATTGCGCTGGAGGCTCGGCTGAGCCGCATCCCTATCGGAGCATCTCTGCACTCCGAAAATAAACTTGTGGAAGCGATTGCCGTCATAGTCCGTACCCGGTATCACTGCCACGAGTGGCTCACTCTTGTTGTTGCGGATGCCGAAGTTTCCCACAACTACCTGACCCTGCCGCAGGGAACTACTCCACGCACTAGCCTGGGCACGAAGATCACCCTTCACCGTCGCTGCCAAATCGCACAATTCCCGGAAAGCCGGTAACCCAACCAATGATTCCGCCACAACTGGCTCATACACGCTTTCTGGCCAGTCTTCCACCAACGCCCCCGCAAACACTTCCTCCAAGTCTCCGTTTCCCTCCATAAACGGCGCCGAGGAATTGATCATCAGAGAACTCAGCAGCACCCCAGCACTCGTTCCACATCGCAAGCCTTTCCCGCCGGGAGTTTGCCGCACTGGACTAGTCATAATTTTATTTTTTTGCCCAGCCGGGGGCCGTGGTTTCTAAACCCGGGTCTGGAATCCAAGCCGGGTTAGAACCCACGGGGGTGGACAACCCACGCCGGGTCGGGAATCCAAGCCGGGTTTCGAACCGAGACCGGCAACAACACGAAAAGCACCAATCGTGATGGCCACCGAAAGCAAACGTCATTCCACAACAAACCACAATAGGCGACAGCTACAATAGGCGACAGCTACAATAGGCGACAGCTACAATAGGCGACAGCTACAATAGGCGAGAGCCACAATAGGCGAGAGCGGCCACAATGAAGCTGGAGACCAGGAGTTGTCGACACCACCGAATGGAACGGAACGTCCCCGACCGCTCTAGTGAGAAACAACAGTCAAGTATTGTTCCTGTAACCGCGACACAAAGGAAGCGCCCATGTTCAGTTCCTCAACGACCTGATTGATAGGGGAGCCATTTTCAGTACAGCCTCATGCGTTAAGGCAAATCGCTGGATGGTCGGGTGGTAGTAGAAGCTGCTTCAGTCCGACAAATCCGCACAAGTGTACCATTCATATATATCGAGTCAGCTCTCTAGGAACTGTGGTTGGAGAGTACGGAAAGTTGCATTATAAAAGCTCCAGCTTTCCGTACTCTCCAGTTCCTGCGACTTATGGTGCCCGTTTGCTTCCTTTGGCTCACTGTGCCCCCTAGGCTGTCCCTCGGCGCCAACTGCATCCGCCTTACATCCTGTCCTGTCCGGGCGCCGACTGGCCGTACTTCTCCTTGTCGACGCATGGTTCCTTGTTCACGCACCGCCTTCAGATAGTCGGTCCTGGTCCGCGCGGAGCGGACTTGCAGTAGTATCTTGCCTTCACCTGCCTCCACGAAAGTCTTCAGACCCGCATCCTCATCCGTGAGGCAGTGCCCGGGGCACATCCGTGTCCCTTACGGCCACACTTGGCGCACCTGTCACCGCTTTGGCGGCAGGCAGTCCTTCCTGCGGTGCCTCCTCACACCGCACCTGCCACATTTGTTGCAGCTCCGTCCTCTGAGGCCACCGACTCCGACTCCGGCTCCTTGGTGGGCCACCTCATCGTGGCAAAGAGCGGCGCAAGCTTATGTAGCGCCTCTATGACCGTTCTGTCACCCTCGAAGTGGAACTCCTTTGCCTACCCGTCATCTGCCGCGGCGCTTAGAATGGCCTGCTGCAACAGAATTCCTGTCCCGTAGAGGCTCGTCAGGCGATGCAGCCGTGTTGTAAGTCGTGGAAGGTTGGCATCTCCTCCGGCGTCGGGTAGAGGCAGGACCTAAAGCACCGACTCAGCAGAGTGCTGTCCGTGAGGGACCTGGCCGCGTCCGACAAAAACCTTTCTACTGCCACTCCGGGGTCTCTCCTACACCCATTCAGATGCGCGCTAACGGTTGCTGGCATCCAGGCCCGCCGCCTAGCAACGAGCGTCTCGTCGGGGATGTAGTGACACTGCTCGCCGACGGCCGTCGCCACGTCGTCCGCCCACTGATCAAACTCCTCCCCTGTGGTGGCCGTGAATGGTGGGAGGCGGCACTTTGCTAGTTCATCCTCCCAGGCCTGCTGCTCGCGGGAGTTAAGCCCACGCACGGCTCTAGGAAGCGCCCTATGTAGGCGCAGCCCACGTCAGCGTCGATAAATCCAGCAGCCGTCGGCTGCTGATGTGGTACGCCGTTAGAAAGGTGTCGATTCTGGTAACTTGCATCCACAGTTCCCTACTTATGTTCTGTACTTCTTTCCACCGCTGGGGAAGAACACCGTACATAAATCTGTTCGGCTCTCCGCCACTGGGAGAGGCCTCGTAGGAAGGAGGGAGATTTCTTTGGGTGGGTAGCATTCTGGATTCCTGGTTTCAACCCCGTCAAAACGTTTATCTCGAATGCTGCGGCAGAGCCGCAAATGACTGAGTTCCAAAGTGTCCTCCACATCGTATGCCTCAGGGACGCCGAGGGGGCTGCGGCCGCAGTGGCCACCGGAAACTCGAACAGGCCGGAGGGGCAGCCGCCGTACTCGGGTGGTCCCAAATCCTTGGGATCGGATAGGAATCCGCCACCGTCGACTCATTCACCCGCCTGTAGTCTTGCACACCCCGCCACTCTACCGTCTTCTTCTTGACGACACGCGGTGCTGGGCTTCGGCGGCCTGATCCCACCCAACTCCAACTGCTCCTTCACCCGCG